CGGGGTAGAAAGTGTCAGAGTGGGCACTGACTTCATACATGGTAGTGTTGATCTTACCTGAACACATTCATGATGTCACTGACGGGGTAGAAAGTGTCAGAGTGGGCACTGACTTCATACATGTAGTGTTGATCTTACCTGAGCACATTGATGATGTCACTGACGGGGTAGAAAGTGTCAGAGTGGGCACTGACTTCATACATGGTAGTGTTGATCTTACCTGAACACATTCATGATGTCACTGACGGGGTAGAAAGTGTCAGAGTGGGCACTGACTTCATACATGGCAGTGTTGATCTTACCTGAGCACACTCAAGATGTCACTGACGGGGTATGAAGTGTCAGAGTGGGCACTGACTTCATACATGGTAGTGTTGATCTTACCTGAGCACACTCAAGATGTCACTGACGGGGTATGAAGTGTCAGAGTGGGCACTGACTTCATACATGGTAGTGTTGATCTTACCTGAGCACACTCAAGATGTCACTGACGGGGTATGAAGTGTCAGAGTGGGCACTGACTTCATACATGGTAGTGTTGATCTTACCTGAGCACATTCATGAAGATGTCACTGACGGGGTAGAAAGTGTCAGAGTGGGCACTGACTTCACAGATAAAACGCTCCTGGCACCTCACTGTTGATATCTGTAAAAAAACAAATGACAGAAATGTTTCAAACATTTATTGATATTCTAAAGAATGATTCGCGACGTGATGATTCATGTTTTAGGTAATTATTTATCCTTGATGAAATGATTCATCCAAGAGATAATGATTCATCATTGTGGTAATGATTCATCATTGTGGTAATGATTCATCATTGTAGTAATGATTCATCATTGTTGTAATGATTCATCATTGTGGTAATGATTCATCATTGTGGTAATGATTCATCATTGTGGTAATGATTCATCATTGTGGTAATGATTCATCATTGTGGTAATGATTCATCATTGTGGTAATGATTCATCATTGTGGTAATGATTCATCATTGTGGTAATGATTCATCATTGTGCTAATGATTCATCATTGTGGTAATGATTCATCCGTTAGGTAAAGATTCATCGATGAGGATATGATATCCATGAGGAAATGATTCATCTCTGATGAAATGATTCACTTTTGATGTAATGATTTATCTTTACGTTGTAATGATTCACTGCTTAAAAAATGATTAAATCATGAAATAATGATTCAATTATACAGTAATGATTCATTCAAGGGGTAATGATTCAGTCAAGGGGTAATGATTCAGTCATATGGTAATGATTCAGTCATATGGTAATAATTCAGTCATATGGTAATGATTCAGTCATATGGTAATAATTCAGTCATATGGTAATGATTCAGTCATATGGTAATGATTCAGTCATATGGTAATAATTCAGTCATATGGTAATGATTCAGTCATATGGTAATGATTCAGTCATATGGTAATGATTCAGTCATATGGTAATGATTCAGTCATATGGTAATGATTCAGTCATATGGTAATGATTCAGTCATATGGTAATGATTCAGTCATATGGTAATGATTCAGTCATATGGTAATGATTCAGTCATAATAAAAAAGGGAATACGAAAGCAAAATAAGATTACTAGGTTATATTTACTAGGAATTCCAAGATTAACGCAGCAGGTATATAAGTAAGTTTATTCAGGTATATAATAAGTTTATTCAGGTATATAAGTAAGTTTATTCAGGTATATAATAAGTTTATTCAGGTATATAAGTAAGTTTATTCAGGTATATAATAAGTTTATTCAGGTATATAAGTAAGTTTATTCAGGTATATAAGTAAGTTTATTCAGGTATATAATAAGTTTATTCAGGTATATAAGTAAGTTTATTCAGGTATATAAGTAAGTTTATTCAGGTATATAAGTAAGTTTATTCAGGTATATAAGTAAGTTTATTCAGGTATATAAGTAAGTTTATTCAGGTATATAAGTAAGTTTATTCATTTATATAAGTAAGTTTATTCAGGTATATAATAAGTTTATTCAGGTATATAAGTAAGTTTATTCAGGTATGTAAGTAAGTTTATTCAGGTATATAAGTAAGTTTATTCAGGTATATAAGTAAGTTTATTCAGGTATATAATAAGTTTATTCAGGTATATAAGTAAGTTTATTCAGGTATATAAGTAAGTTTATTCAGGTATATAAGTAAGTTTATTCAGGTATATAAGTAAGTTTATTCAGGTATGTAAGTTTATTCAGGTATATAAGTAAGTTTATTCAGGTATATAAGTAAGTTTATTCAGGTATATAAGTAAGTCTATTCAGGTATATAAGTAAGTTTATTCAAGTATATAATAAGTTTATTCAGGTATATAAGTAAGTTTATTCAGGTATATAATAAGTTTATTCAGGTATATAAGTTTATTCAGGTATATAAGTAAGTTTATTCAGGTATATAAGTAAGTTTATTCAGGTATATAAGTTTATTCAGGTATATAAGTAAGTTTATTCAGGTATATAAGTAAGTTTATTCAGGTATATAAGTAAGTTTATTCAGGTATATAAGTAAGTTTATTCAAGTATATAAGTAAGTTTATTCAGGTATATAAGTAAGTTTATTCAGGTATATAAGTAAGTTTATTCAGGTATATAAGTAAGTTTATTCAGGTATATAAGTAAGTTTATTCAGGTATATAAGTAAGTTCATTCAGGTATATAAGTAAGTTCATTCAGGTATATAAGTAAGTTTATTCAGGGATATAAGTAAGCTTATTCAGGTATATAAGTAAGTTTATTCAGGTATATAAGTAAGTGTATTCAGGTATGTAAGTAAGTTTATTCAGGTATATAAGTTTTATTCAGGTATATAAGTAAGTTTATTCAGGTATATAAGCAAGTTTATTCAGGTATATAAGTAAGTTTATTCAGGTATATAAGTAAGTGTATTCAGGTATGTAAGTAAGTTTATTCAGGTATATAAGTTTTATTCAGGTATATAAGTAAGTTTATTCAGGTATATAAGCAAGTTTATTCAGGTATATAAGTAAGTTTATTCAGGTATATAAGCAAGTTTATTCAGGTATATAAGTAAGTTTATTCAGGTATATAAGTAAGTTTATTCAGGTATATAAGTAAGTTTATTCAGGTATATAAGTAAGTTTATTCAGGTATATAAGTAAGTGTATTCAGGTATGTAAGTAAGTTTATTCAGGTATATAAGCAAGTTTATTCAGGTATATAAGTAAGTTTATTCAGGTATATAAGCAAGTTTATTCAGGTATATAAGTAAGTTTATTCAGGTATATAAGCAAGTTTATTCAGGTATATAAGTAAGTTTATTCAGGTATATTAAGTAAGTTTATTCAGGTATATAAGTAAGTTTATTCAGGTATATAAGTAAGTTTATTCAGGTATATAAGTAAGTTTATTCAGGTATATAAGTAAGTTTATTCAGGTATATAAGTAAGTTTATTCAGGTATATAAGTAAGTTTATTCAGGTATACACAAATACAGTTACATAGATTATCATACACAGCAGCATATGTGTAGACAACCTGGGATAACCCAAAAAAGTCAGTCAGAGTGACTTATTTCCATTGGTGTCCTTTTACCTTATTATTATAATACAAAGGTTATAATAAGATAAGATAAGATTTCGTTCGGATTTTTAACCCAGGAGGGTTAGCCACCCAGGATAACCCAAGAAAGTCAGTGCGTCATCGAGGACTGTCTAACTTATTTCCATTGTGGTCCTTAATCTTGTCCCCCAGGATGCGACCCACACCAGTCCACTAACACCCAGGTACCTATTTGCTGCTAGGTGAACAGGACAATAGGTGTAAGGAAACGTGTCGGAATTTCCACCCGCCGGGAATCGAACCCGGGCCCTCCGTGTGTGAAGCGAGAGCTTTAGCCACCAGATAACATCTTATTATCATACTAAAAAGACTATCTACTACACGAGGGCCATTAAGACTATCTACTACACGAGAGTCATTAAGACTATCTACTACACTAGGGTCATTAAGACTATCTACTACACGAGGGTCATTAAGACTATCTACTACACGAGGGTCATTAAGACTATCTACTACACAAGGGTCATTAAGACTATCTACTACACGAGGGTCATTAAGACTATCTACTACACGAGGGTCATTAAGACTATCTACTACACAAGGGTCATTAAGACTATCTACTACACGAGAGTCATTAAGACTATCTACTACACGAGGGTCATTAAGACTATCTACTACACGAGGGTCATTAAGACTATCTACTACACGAGGGTCATTACTAGGAATAAGGTAAAATTACACGTGTGTAGCTAAAAAATAGAAAATCATTCCCCTCCCTTTCTGTAGCTACATTCATCAGACACCTTTTGGCACTCTTCTTGAACTGGTTCATGCTATGACTGGCTTTGACATGTGCAGGTAGTCTGTTCCATTCCTTTATTGCTGTACAATAAAAGGTGTTTGAAGCCTGGCCACTGACTGTGGGTACTACAAAGTTGTGCTCTCTCCCCCTAGTACTATGATTGCTTTGGTTCACAACCTTGACAAAATTGACAGCAAGATATTCTGGACATTGTTTGTGAGCAATTTTATAAACATGATTTAGTTTCAGTTGTTTTACTCTGTCTTCAACATTCAGCATATCCAACTGCTGTAATTCATCCTGGCCTACATGTTCTCTTGGTCCCAGGTCCAGGATGAATCTTACAATTTTGTTCTGGGTGATTTGTAGTCTATCTTTCAGTTTTTTGTCAAGGCAGAGTACCATGAAGAGCAAGCGTAATCCATATGGCATTGTATAAGGGCTAGACATAGGGTCCTGCGAGCCTCAGTAGGTAGACACTGTGCTTGTCTATACAGGAACTTCAGTCTGGCATTCGCTTTCTTTACTACACTGTTCCCTTTCAATTCTCCTGACATGCACGGGTCAAAGGGGATTCCCAGATATTTTACTGATGAAACCAAAGTGATGGACTCCCCATTACACTGGACATTAAAATTATTTACCCTTCTCAGTTTATGTTTCGTTCCAAAGAGAATGACTTCAGTTTTCCCGAGGTGTAATGATAGTTTGTTGTCTACTAACCATTTGCTGCAGTACTCCAGTTCCAGTGTTAAAACATTAGCAATATCTTGTGGGACTTTACCTGTCACTAACAGAGCACTGTCATCTGCACACAGGAGTTTGCACTTGACACTGATAGGTATGTCATTAACATTGCAGAAGAATAATAAGGGACCCAGAACACTACACTAGCTGGCAAAACCACACACAGCATCTTGTTATGAATACCAATAACAGGTTTTAATCTAGTCGTGATTGCTGTTTGCTTGGTAGATGTAATCAGTAACATCTATTATTTCCATGATCCTCTACAACATGTGACCATTACGTTACAATTACATGTCTCTTACCTTGGGTCACTTCTACCATTTTGGTCTACCACAACCATTTGATTACTACTGTTTCCGTTATCAACGTTGTCAGTAAACTAATTACCTCAAGATGAGCAAAGTAGATGTAGAGTTTCCTTAAGGATTGTTTATATGAAGGCTGCCAGATGAGGTCCTCCGGCAGTATGTCATCCTCCATTATACTGCTCAAGTGTGAGACTCGTCCTTGTACTGAAGACAGGGCCACGTCACCATCCATGTTCCTCAACTGGAAGGTTCGTGCAAATGCAGGTCCAGGTCCTGGTACGAGGCTGGGCAGTGCCACTGAGGTTGGCACGTAAATTTGAATGCCTGTGAAACCACAGTAACAATAATATTAGTATATAACTGTATTCTTTTTAGCAATTCCAAATTCGTAATGAGCATTAAGCATTAATAGCACTAAAGGCTCTATCCTCTGTACGTTCATTGTAAACCGCTATCTGACCACTTTGGCTGCTGGTATTTACGACAGCATCAGTAACATTGTGGAAAGCAACAATAAATTCTGAGTGAACATGTTAAAAAATGATCCAGAAAATGATTCTATGGAATGCAACATTAACACTTTTTAAATCATTAAAAAACTCTAGATATGCATCGGTCACTATACAGAGAAAGGAATCCTGTGTCCCATAATCCAAGCTTTCTTTTCTGCATTAAAAGTGCAAGATATAGTAGAGTGAAGGCATAAGTTTCAAATGCACTTAAAATCAGCACTGACGAATGGAAGAAAATTGAGAGACACAAGTTATCACATGGAAACTAATATCCCAATTAGAAGTGTCTTCTTCGCTGATAATAAGACCAGAACAATAGCTTCTTCATATCTGAGCCTCTTGCCAAGGAACTTCTTAAGAACATAAGAAAAGGCCCATGTTAGGTAGGTCCAACCCCACAAAAAGATTCTCTCTTCAATTACAGTCCTTGAATGTGTGTTGATAAAGCCACTGAAAGGTGAAACGTCTACAGTCACAGACCGGGCCGTCACAGACCCGGCCGCGGGGGCGTTGACCCCCGGAACTCTCTCCAGGTAATACCCAGATGTTGCAGAAGTGTCTAATTGTCATCCAGTAGGTACTGTATTTCATCCACGTACAGCTACGCTACCTGCCAGTTTGTTACACTCACCCACAACTCTATTACCAAACCAGAACTTCACTATATATTTTCTAAATCTATTTTTTTTCTCTATTTTTTATCCCTAATTCTATGCCTTTCATTCGTCGCTCATTACCTTTGTAAATTGTGAGTTCATTACCTTTGTAAATTGTGAGTTCATTACCTTTGTAAATTGTGAGTTCATTACCTTTGTAAATTGTGAGTTCATTACCTTTGTAAATTGTGAGTTCATTACCTTTGTAAATTGTGAGTTCATTACCTTTGTAAATTGTGAGTTCATTACCTTTGTAAATTGTGAGTTCATTAACTTTGTAAATTGTGAGTTCATTACCTTTGTAAATTGTGAGTTCATTACCTTTGTAAATTGTGAGTTCATTACCTTTGTAATTTGTGAGTTCATTACCTTTGTAAATTGTGAGTTCATTACCTTTGTAAATTGTGAGTTCATTACCTTTGTAAATTGTGAGTTCATTACCTTTGTAAATTGTGAGTTCATTACCTTTGTAATTGTGAGTTCATTACCTTTGTAAATTGTGAGTTCATTCCCTTTTGTAAATTGTGAGTTCATTACCTTTGTAAATTGTGAGTTCATTACCTTTGTAAATTGTGAGTTCATTACCTTTGTAATTGTGAGTTCATTACCTTTGTAAATTGTGAGTTCATTACCTTTTTTAAATTGTGAGTTCATTACCTTTGTAAATTGTGAGTTCATTACCTTTGTAAATTGTGAGTTCATTACCTTTGTAAATTGTGAGTTTCATTACCTTTGTAAATTGTGAGTTCATTACCTTTGTAAATTGTGAGTTCATTACCTTTGTAAATTGTGAGTTCATTACCTTTGTAAATTGTGAGTTCATTACCTTTGTAAATTGTGAGTTCATTACCTTTGTAAATTGTGAGTTCATTACCTCTGTAACTTGCTCAGTTATCAAAACTTTGGAGTCCAGTCCCTGGACCCATTATGTACCTCTGTAATCTTTTGACTACCGCCCACAGGATGGGTATGGGGTGCATAATAAGCATATTAAACTAACTCATTCGTCGCCCAGGTGTCTGGGTGAGCGGTCGCTGCTTGCACCTCTCTGTCATGGTCTTCAGCGTTCGTCAGCAGTATATTCGTATGTGGGTCCATCACGCCTATGAATGTGTGTGGCGGCCACAGGCGCCTGTGTGCGCTGAGGCGAGTCAGTATGATGGGTGAAGGTACTTAATAGTTTTCTTGGAGGCCTGCGAGCCCTTCTTGGTGTTTGTGGCATCAAACTGTGATGGTGGGCCTTTGGTGTGCACATACACGGCCATTATTCTTACTTTAGGTGCTTTCTGTAAGAAACTTCTTTTCTTATATTCACCAGTATTCATTATGTTACATAAGTACACAATGTGATGTGTTGTCATTTTGTGTTTCTACACGCATACCCCTCAAGGAAGGTTCCTTGATGTTGGTGAGGGGCTCTTGATTTAGGGAATTGGATCTGTGCTCCAGTTCCCCGAATTAAGCCTGAATGCCTTCCACTCCCCCCCCCCAGGCGCTGTATAATCCTCCGGGTTTAGCGCTTCCCCCTTGAAAGCAGTGAAGAGTTTTTACGAGGATAGTGAGGCTCAAGTTAGAGTATGTAGGAAAGAGGGAAATTTTTTCCCAGTAAAAGTAGGCCTTAGACAAGGATGTGTGATGTCACCGTGGTTGTTTAATATATTTATAGATGGGGTTGTAAGAGAAGTAAATGCGAGGGTCTTGGCAAGAGGCGTGGAGTTAAAAGATAAAGAATCACACACAAAGTGGGAGTTGTCACAGCTGCTCTTTGCTGATGACACTGTGCTCTTGGGAGATTCTGAAGAGAAGTTGCAGAAATTGGTGGATGAATTGGTAGGGTGTGCAAAAGAAGAAAATTAAAGGTGAATACAGGAAAGAGTAAGGTTATGAGGATAAAAAGATTAGGTGATGAAAGATTGAATATCAGATTGGAGGGAGAGAGTATGGAGGAGGTGAACGTATTCAGATATTTGGGAGTGGACGTGTCAGCGGATGGGTCTATGAAAGATGAGGTGAATCATAGAATTGATGAGGGAAAAGAGTGATGGTGCACTTAGGAGTCTGTGGAGACAAAGAACTTTGTCCTTGTGAGGCAAAGTAGGGGAATGTATGAGAGTATAGTTTTACCAACGCTCTTATATGGGTGTGAAGCGTGGGTGATGAATGTTGCAGCGAGGAGAAGGCTGGAGGCAGTGGAGATGTCATGTCTTGAGGGCAATGTGTGGTGTGAATATAATGCAGAGAATTCGTAGTTTGGAAGTTAGGAGGAGGTGCAGGATTACCAAAACTGTTGTCCAGAGGGCTGAGGAAGGGTTGTTGAGGTGGTTCGGACATGTAGAGAGAATGGAGCGAAACAGAATGACTTCAAGAGTGTATCAGTCTGTAGTGGAAGGACGGCGGGGTAGGGTCGGCCTAGGAAGGTTGGAGGGAGGGGGTAAAGGAGGTTTTGTGTGCGAGGGGCTTGGACTTCCAGCAGGCATGCGTGAGCGTGTTTGATAGGAGTGAATGGAGACAAATGGTTTTAATACTGACGTGCTGTTGGAGTGTGAGCAAAGTAACATTTATGAAGGGATTCAGGGAAACCGGCAGGCCGGACTTGAGTCCTGGAGATGGGAAGTACAGTGCCTGCACTCTGAAGGAGGGGTGTTAATGTTGCAGTTTAAAAACTGTAGTGTAAAGCACCCTTCTGGCAAGACAGTGATGGAGTGAATGATGGTGAAAGTTTTTCTTTTTCGGGCCACCCTGCCTTGGTGGGAATCGGCCGGTGTGATAATAATAAAAAAAAAATAATCTACACGCATAGCAGGTGTCTGCATCATCATGGCTACCAACTGTGTGGTCGGGTGTGGCCAGTTTGATTTTGTTATCTAGAATTGTCGAGGTCTTGTAGTATCTAGGTGGGGGGGGGGTATGTTCAACAGACATTGTTGTGAGTGTTCATAATTGTATTTTTTTTAGGGAGGTTTGGAACATGGGGTTTGTGTATGTTATCTTTTTTATTTGTTCAAGTCACTGGAACTGTGTTGAGCATAATTGTGCACCATGTAATGTGTTTTTAAATAATATATATATATATATATATATATATATAATATATATATATTAATATATATATATATATATATATATATATATATATATATATAAAATATAGGGAGGTACCACCTCTAGAACTGTAATAGGGACCCTCATCCTCAGAGAAAAGAATAAACTTGCTTCAGGGAAAACTCAAGATTCTCCTGAAGCTGTTTTGAGAATTTTCTCCTACCACCCCCTATATATATGTATATATATTTTATTTAAAAGACAAAATACATTGACGAAACATTCACAAAAATATGATACAAAGTAAAACAACATGGGTAACTTAGAGCTACATCTCGAATACTTCGTCCAGCTCCCCGGCGGTCGGCCGCGTGCCCAGAATGCTGCAGGCATTTCCTCTCTGGATCGTAACACTGAGTCTCTGAAAGAGGAAGCTGGTCGCCCTGTGGTCCTTGGTTTCTATGATGAGCTTTTCACCCAGCTCTTTGAGGAACTTTAGAGCACACTTGCCCCATGCTCCAAGGGTCTCCGACCCTATTGGAATGATATTATAGCAAGGGGGAAGGTCTTCATATTTTCGGATCTTCTGGGTCTCCCTGTGGCTGGCAGCTCCCCCCCTTTCCACTACGGAGTATGGCAAGTAGGTGTCTGCCAATGTGGCAGCACAGGTGTAGTCCCAGGCAATCTGCTTTCCATCCTTCCAGGGTAGCATAGTGGCTCCATCAGGACGCTTTTGACTTCCATCAGACCTCTGTACTTGGGGTTCCCGTTGAGCTGGGCAACGGGCTGTGGCGAGGCTTCTCTTTATTATGTCATTGATCTCCTCATGTCTGGCATACTTCCCTTCTGCTGTGTGACACACGAGACCATGGAGTCCGAATTGATCAGCTGTCGCCCTGCCGCAAATACACCTATGTTCGGTGAGGATGGGGGCGGCTAGGCGACGAGCAACACCAATCCGAACGGCCTGTGGGTCGAGACGGGTGCCCAGGGAGGAATTGGGAACAGCTAACAGGAAATCTCCTGAGTGTGGTGCCTTCACTGCCAGGAGACGAGCTTTGTTCTTTCCTGAAGCATTGGAGAGCATTGTGTTGGCGATTTTTTCCATGATCGG